AACAAAGAAAGGGGTGACCAAGTGTCCGTGACCTTGAGCAGCGCTTGACGCGTGCCTAGCGTCATGATGTCCCGACACTACGGACGGGCATACATAGCAGAAACCAGCCAATTATTAGACGTCGTTTTAAGGAGTAGCGATTTTGCAATATTTTCCTCCCCTCGAAATTTTAACTTAGGGTCTCCACTTGACTAAATGTATTCCTAATCGACGGGTAATACTAAAGTGTCTTCTAATTTTGAGCGTAAATTGACAGATGGTTGCCCCTCTTGACATATTTTAAACAGATACTGGAAACGTTTATGCCATCAATAAAAATAGCACGAGGACGAGGTGCACTCGTCCTTTAATTTGTACTCTTTTTTCACTTTTCCATTGCTCATTTACCTAATAGCGTACTAAAAGACAGCATATAGCAGATAAAATTATTAAAATGTGTAATTGCGTAGCAGTTCTCGGATAGTCCATAGGTTATACAGCGTGTGAGAATTACGGCCATAGTAGAAAGTTAATTTAATGACTTCTTAATGTGATGTTACGTGTAATAGTGTATAGACCTACATATCCAAAAATAATAGGAAATATAGCTTTCCTGAATTTGAAAATGATATGCTGGTATTCACGTCTTACTCTTGTGAATTTACCGAGATAAGTAAGTATCAATATCATCTTGGTGATCATTGCTTAAATAGATCTACCGACTGTTGGCCATTGTTTTCTGTTAGAAACAAAACGGATGAGTTTGCGGATGTGTCAATTGTCTGAATCAGAAAGCATAGGCGCCAGTCGCCTAAGTAGACAAACTTCCATCAGCATCATAATTTGTCAAACAATTTCACAGTGAAGATGAATTTCGACGCTAAACGTTAAGCCAATTTTAATTGACTAAGACCACCTGGCGTGTTTAGTCATGGAACGTGCTTCGTTCTGATAAAAAGATGAGCATAAACCATTGCAGCTGTACCATGCGATGACAGAATATCACTGACACACACTTGTCTAGGCTTTTAGCTAGTACCTCAGCTTATGGTGTATCTTGCACCTGCAAATACCTGAGAACCTACAGTGACTCACAAGTGCCCACTGAAGCGTAACTGATGACTGTGTTGACGTCTGTGAATGAAACCGATTATCATTTTGGATAAAATTCCAATCATCAGACCAACTAACGACTCGCTTTAAGGATGATGGTTCCTCTTTTGTAAAAACATCCTCTAGGCTTGCTTATTTTCCACATACAACAGCT